ATTTTTAATATCCGGCAAACAGGGCATTCAGAGGCAGAGTCCCAACCTCAATAATGGTTCGATTGAAAAATTTGCAAAGGGTCGTGTTGAATAACCGTCATTGAACACCATAGAAGACCCTCTGAGTCGCGACCTTTCACCCATGGTCCATTGGATTCTCCACTAATCTGCGCGAAAGGGTCCATCGGCTCTCCCCCTCGCAGACGATCGTTTCACCGACACGCAATAGCTTCAAAAGGTTCAAAAGGTAATGCAAGCTGCTCGAATTTGAGCCAGACCACTCGAAGGATTCATCTTCGCTTCCTCCCTCTTTCGCTGTTTCCACGGAACCCTTTCTCTCCCGTCCCTTTGCCAATCCACTTAAGAACGCAAAGCTGTTCAACCACTGCATGTTTTCTTTCTCGTGATTCTCCGGGTTCTGCGATTCTAATCCCGAGCGACCCTCGCGTTTGACGGATGGAAATTTCCCATGGAAGACTCAGTCCATCGACGATCGTTTGTCATTTATCACCGCGAGATGATAACAGAGAAATTACCACCACCAGCACGGCGTTTAGTCTTTCCGCGAAATAATCCGGAATAATCCGTCGCTCGTCGTTGTTTCGCGTGAGAACAGTGTATCGTTGTCGACGAGCAAAGCTGAAAAAAAGCTCGTAGCTTGGTGAGAGTTTTCATCGCGAGGCGACTTTTCCCGAGGGAAGTCGCTTGTCCGTTCTGACAGTAACTACATATCGAGCCGGGTTTCCACGCTTTTTCTTCTTTTTGCACCCCCCCCCTCTCCTCTCCCCACGATGCTTCGCCAGTGATCGCGGCTACGAATTACACGTCACGAGAACCATATCTCAAAAGTTTCTCTTTCGCTCCCCGGAGAAACAAACGGAGCCATTCGAGCTGGCATCGCGCGATCAATCGATGACGTGTACTCTTTTGTGACGACGAGGAAGGTACGCCACACGAGGGGAAAAGGGACAGGGAATTTTTTCATCCGTTTTTTTTTTCTTTTTTTCTCTCCCCTCTGTCTTAGTCACAGAAATGAAATCAATAGTCTGAATAGGCATTGTAATGGAGATTTCTGGAGAATCGAACAGTCACATTTGTTTGTCGTCGATTCTTTTCTGTTTTCTTTTCTTTTTTTTTTCGTTTTCGACTAGATACAGGAACAAAGCCAGAAATTATAAGAATTATTTTCATTATTCGTTTCCCGGATCTCTCCTCACGCAGTCGTGTTTTTCCTTCGGATTGAAATTATCATAAAATTAAAATTTCCCTCGCATTCTTCGCACGTGCGTGAGCCTGCCGCGTCAGTGCGTACATTTTGTTGTATATTTTTAATCCGGCTTATTGAAATAACAAGTTTCTCATTTATTCGGATGGCAGCATCGGTTTTCTGTAAATTATTTCTTCCACGAGCGAAGGACGTTCTAGGCATTAATCGACGGGAATAATAAAAATGGAAATGAAGCTTTTAAATCCGAAACTCCATTTGTTCTTCCTCATTTCTTCGTCGCGTTTACGCCTCCGCGGCGTCACCCTCGGTTCGAGAATGAATATGTCTCATCCGTGAAAAAAAATTGTATCGCGGATTTCATTGAAGCTTTATACGCGCGCGGAGAGCACATAGTTTCATTACTTTGAAAATTAATTTACCTTGACACAGATGGATATTAAACATTCTCCGTGCAGGATTTTTCTTCCTTTGTACGATGTGCGGATGACTTTACAATGCAACTGTAATAACGACGTGCGTAATCAAAAGAAGAACCACCGCACAAATGGTGAACGGGAATTAGAAACTTTCTCCAAAAAGATAAGAGGAAAATGGCGAGGTTGACGGGACGAACTTTGAATTTGCAAAATTTCGAAAACGCTCGAGCGAACAAAGCTATCGAAAGAGTATACAAAAGGAGCATAGTATACGTATGGAAGAATCTATCCTCGTAATAGCTGGAATATCTGTCCATTCACTGCCATGAAGATTGAGGGCCAATTTGACCTCTTTCC